ATAATTGTCACTGGAGCAGTGCTGAACTAAGAATTCTCACTCAAAGACTTTGTGAAGTCGAATACAGCCAGTGAAATTTTCAGGAAAATAACCCCACATATACCGATCTCATATGCCCCTACCTTGTATCGTATATAACTTCATGATCTTTTTCACTCGCCGCCTCCAGGAGCTCCAAAGCCCTACGACAATGACCAACGGCTTCAATGTACTTGAGTGCTCCAAAGGCGACCTTCGTATCTTGGAGGGCGCTCTGAATATCTACACACAGTTCTATACGATCGACAACAACACAGTGTGAGATGATATGCACATGTGCTGTTGACAATACGAGAACACCAAGTAAATTCTAACTGGTTTCGCTACATTTCTACCAGAATTCGTAAGCTCTACTTAATGAATAGGGACCTACGAAACGCGGCAACTCCTTGTAGATTACCTCAGAGATTACCCTACATGAAAACAAACAATGTATCGACGACAGTGTGGGAAAATATGCACATGGTCAACTACGTATGTTGGTGACAATATATGAAAATTCTGAGGAAATTTTGGCAGATTCTCATTGGTTTCTCTACACTTCTACCCGAATTCATATGCAAACCTCTGAGGCTGGAAACACTCCTGAGCTACGTCGAATCCTTAGCCGTTTTTTCTGCTATAATCTCACCTGTGTTGTTGCTGCTGAAGTTATTCTCTTTCCCCGACTTCTCGCCGTATTCAGCCCAACGATCAAGCGACGATCGACGCCTTGGCCCGCCGTTGCCATCAAGCTTCTCAGGAGGCGTCTTCCTTTTCAAACAACTATTCATTGATACCAGTTCGAGCTTATCATCATGCTGCAACCCGGCGGCTTCGATCTGACCAAAAATTCTATAATACTTGTCGGGGGAAAATATGTTCGCTTTCCTCAGCTGAGCTTGGGAGTTTCCTCACTAATGATACGGATCCGAGTATAGATGTACAGAAATCGATGAAAATTTCTCAAAATTTCCGCAGAACTTACATATTATCACCAACATATGTGGTTGACCATATCCATACACTACGGATATGACAACTCCGGGAACTTCACAGAAACTAGCCGCTCTGAAAGTTTCTGGCCTGTGTATTTTCCCACTAGTTATTGAACAAGTGTTGGTCATCCACACAGTGAGGAAAAATGAGCCCGTACTCAACTATGTGTTGATGAATATCTCAGCGATGAAAACTAAGAGGAAATTTTCCGGATTTCTTGTTAGTTACTGAGCACTTCTACCCAAATTCATATGTAACCTTCTATAATGAGTGAGGAAACTGCTGAACTCAGGTGAGGAAAGCGAACATATATTCCAGCGCAGTAAACAGCATTATCACTGTTTGATTATCATCGGGCAAGTCTTCGCCCTCTCTGGAGCCCTTCTTCCACACGAGGCGCCACAGTTGCGGTTCCCACAGACCAAAATGTTCACATGTCTGCGCCAGAAATTTCTGGCAAGTCTTGTCGCTGAAAAAACACGAGATGAAGCACCTCAGATCTAACTATATACACTCACGGAATTGCCCTCAGTTTCGCAGCTTTAAATGTGGCACGAGAATCATCACAGACAACTATGATTCTGAGTGCTTCCATTCTCACACGTTCCGATGGGGAGGCGCAGTATTCACGAGGCGAGGACACTCCTGCCATGACCGAACAACGAGATTACTAACAAGTGAATGACGACAATCACAATATAGACTATTCTCGCTGTTGTCATAACGAGATCAAAATGATCTCCCATGTGGTTATCGTTGGAGTTCTACCTGTGATATGGAAAACATATTTCACGACCACTGCATAGTGTGAATATCGTTTTTTCACAGAGTTTTACGTCACTTCACGTGAAACGGGTGAAACTCCAATGTTGGCCAAAGTGTAACCGATTGAAATTAAGATATGGTATTGAGATCGCCAACTCGACTTACTCCATGCCTCATCATTAATATAATGTTTTAAATATAAAAACACTTACGAATTCTAGCATGACCACTCCACAGTTAATTCACGCTGATGCGCGAAGCAGCGACAAATAACCTCGTACCACGCCGCACCCGCATCTGACTGAGCGGTCTAATGCATTGGAGTTTCACCAGTTTTACGCGAAGTGGCGTAAAACTCGGTGAAAACGCGATATTCGCAGCCTGTAGTAGTCGTGAAATATATCTTTCACAAGTGTTTCCCATATCAATCGAGTGAACTCCATTGATGAATTAATCTCAACGCGATAATACACGAGCTATACTGAAAACAATAGACTACAAAGAGCCGCCCACTTTGGCAAACAATCAATGTAACAACATAGTAAATCGA